TATATATATGTTATTTAATTATCTTCGGTAATATTCGCATGATCGTGAATAGACTGATAGATTGAATTATATTCATTGAAATGTTTTTACGTTTTTTTTTTTTTTTTAAACGTTTGTTATTATAAAACATTATTATTACTATTATTATTATTATTATAATACGATTAATGGAATGCAATTTCCATGCGCACCACCCAAAAAAAAAAAACACCTATGAAACTTGTTTTTTACGAAGGAAGAGTATTTTTGTTTCTTCTAAGAACTAACGATAAAATTATTATTATTATTATTATTATTATTATTATAATCGTTAAGTTTTGTTTATTTAATTCACGATCAAACGTATAAGTTTGATCAAAGTGTAATAATAGCAGTGTAATTTCTCTCTTTCTTTCTATCTTTCTTTTTTTTTTTTAATCATATTTTTTTATTCAATTTTTTTTTATTATTATTATTATTATTGTTTCTCCTATACTCGCATTATTACTTTTTTTTTTCTTTTTTTTTTTCTTAATAACTAACTTAAGTTCTATCAATATTCGTTAAGAAACGTTAGTGAAGCGTGAACCTTTAAATATCGCTAGTCTTGATACGGGTTATAAGTCGACAACTTTGTGGAAATAATGATTTAACTGTTTGACTGCTTAAGGCGTATATATGCGCTCTGACAAATCCATCAATATATATCAAAGGTGTAAATATGCGCTCTCTGTATTTTGGTTTACTATATTAACACTTGTATTGCTGTATTATCGATTAATTGAAACATGGAATTTATTGTGATTGGTTTATGTAACATAGCAATGAAATATTGTGCAATTATTTCAATGGTCGTTTAAATTAATTTGATTTGATATTTGCAATTTTGCCTATTTTATATTTTTATTATTTTTTTTATTTGTTCATTATTGTTTTATTATTAGTTTTCATAATTAGATTAAAATTATTCAAATATTATATCCTGTTAAAGTGTTAGCATAATTCTGTGTTACATTATTAATTTTTGGTATTTTGTATTCTTTGATATTTAAATTACCGATAGGTAAGTAGCTTAAAATATTACTTAAAAAAAAATGCATATTTTTATTTTATTTGCCATTATTATTATCTGTTTTGATCAGAGTAGTCGAATGGAAAAAACAGTCGTAGCATTTTTGCGACTGACATGCAAAAATTGCGCCGCGCCGTGCCGCGCCGCGTCGTTCATATTAATGGATGTGTTCGAAAGCGCACTGCAGTCAAAGGGTTAAAAAATAAAAAAAATAAAACAAAATAATTCGATCATTATTCGTCGTAGAATGTCATAAAAAAATAAAAAATAAAATAAAAAAATTAAAACACACACACACGTACATATTTTTAAGTGAACGTGACTTCGTTCGAATAAGATCGAGACGATTATCTTCTTGCAACCCGATCAGAAGTAGCTACGAGAAATAGATAGATAGATAATAGATAGATTGATAGATAGATTACATATATTAAGAAAGTTAGAAAGAGAAAGAGAAAGAAAAAATGATTATGAGATAGTTAACGTTTTGTTTATAAAATGATCATCTTCTCTTAAATAAGTCAAGTACCACACTAAACTTATTTATAATCGTATCAGAACCTAATCGTTCATTATTATAAATAATTGATTTAAATTAATTTGGTAATTTTAATTTTTAATAAATACATAAATAAATGTAAAAGTTAAATTATAAACGTTTTTTTGTTAAAATGTTGTAAGATCAATTTTTCAATCAGTGACTTAATTGCTAAGATAATTAAAATGTTTTGTTTTGCAATTTTCCTGTTACGTGGCTCTCCTGTACCACCAAAAATGGCTGTTTTCTACTACGTTCAACAACATTACATCAAAATTATTTAAAAATTAGGGTTTCATTTTGAATAAATCAACGAATAAATCTCACGTTAATGTTACAATCTACGTACTTCATATTTTTATCTGCAATATTTTGCTAAAAGTTTCTAGAAAATTGTACGAACATACGTAAATACCAAAATAAATTATAGGTTAGGTACTTTTAAAAACTGAACGATTAGGTTCGACGATTATTCTTCTTTTTCTTCCTCTTCATTTATTTTTTTTTTTTTTTGTTCATTTTCTTGCTTTTTTTTTTTTTAATCGTTTAATTTGCATCGTGATGTTTCTCACGTATGCAATGCTATGTTTAATATTGCCGCAGGTAAAATTTGTATGAGTATATGTGTATATGTGTATATGTGTACGTGTGATGTATGCTTGTATATCGTATAAAAAGTGTTTTCCTCTATTAAAATCAATTGCCATTTGTTCATTTTTCTTAAGAACGTATATAGTCGTCAATTCAAGGCATCATCTTTCGTGGTGACAACCATTTTTTCATGTAATAGCAGAAAATCGTTGAAATGTAGATGAGAACCAATAAAGCACACGTAACACCCAATGCTAGTACTGACGTTTTTGTTGGACATGGTTCTACGATGGTCACAGTTTTATCTTTGAGAAAAAAGAAACAAATCAAATTATAAATAATCATATTAATAATATAATAAACAAATATTATTCAATTGAAATGTTCATTGAAATGTTAACATTTTCTTTAATTTTACCTGCTTCATTGAAGTCTATGCTAGCGTCATTTTTAAGAAACTCCGATTGTTTTTCATCACCAAAGTCCAATACCAAAATTTCTTGAGACAGTGTCATGTCCTCAGCTTTTTCTTCAGTAGCATTCATGACGTACCTTTTACGTCTTTTGCCCCATGACTCAACAGACTCACGTCCCCATTCGCAAACAGCCTGTTAATAAAAACGTGCACGAAACATTTTAATCAATTTTTTGGTTTCTTTAACATGTTGAGCGCCACGGTAATACTTAGGGAAATTCCTGTCAGGCCACAGGTCCCACTTTGTATTGAAAGAAATAGTTGAGTGTCAGTCATTAATGACTGACGCGGCCTAAACTGAAAGTCTAATGTCAGTCACCAATGGCTGACGTGGCGCTCAACGTGATAAAGATTGAACAAAATTGTATGAATGAATAAAATTCGTATTACCGGTTCACATGGTCCAAGACAATACTTGACGTTACATTGGAAAATGACACCATAAGATTCCGTAAACCTGAAGGCTTCGTAAACAGATTGTAAGGCGTTACCGTCTGGCGTGAAACTTGGGAAGATTGAGGGATCAACTGGACATCTAAAATTACGTTCATTTTTTAGATACATTCTTACATTAATTTTTTAAGTTCTAAGGGGAAGGGGGAAAAAAACCAAATTAAATACCAACCCTTCGTCGTCGATTATTTGGAATGTGCTTTTAGAGTCTTTGGCCATAGCAACGCAGCTGCGAGCAAAGATTCCGTATGGTGCTGAAAATCAAATGATAATTAAATTAATTGAAAATAAAATTAAACATAATATTAAATAAAATAATAAATTAACATTATGCCATCCGTAGGTCAATTAATAACCGCCGATATGCGGCCATTAGTGTTAACTTTAGTTCTACAGTTTTGAATACCACAATAAAGCCATCGTGTCACTTGCACGATAATTTTTGCATGGCACCAATGTGGAGTCACCGGACGTCATAATAGTGTTAATACAATTAAAATAATCATTTGCAATTGAATGAAATAATAATAACGTAGTATGGTGTTGAGAATCAAATGTAAGTTAAGTTAATTGTAGATAAAATGAATGTTAAGTTAATTGAAAATAAAATGAAAACATTTGGTTTGTTTGTTGTTTGCAATTAAAAATTACAAAAGTAATGATTAACTTACTGTCTTCGGGAATTTCAATCCTAAATGTCAATTTATCTCCTATTCTAACAGTTTCAACTTCACGTGATCTGCTATCAAGAATGCGTATCCTTGGTGGTGGTGCTTCAGGTGCGCTAGTAATGCTAATCATTTCCGGATCTCTGATTGGCATCATCCCGAAGGTTATGTTCTTGGATGACATGTCGTATGTACATTTAACCTTGTAAATTTTATCAGCCTTTGTCATGACCACCGAATGATGTTGCAGTACCACTGTGTTTGAGTAGATGCCAGTCTGAAAACCGTCACGCTGCCATGATGAACAGAAAGTTTGAAAGATGAACAAGAAAATGTTTGATACACGAAGCTAACTATTATTTCGTGAGATTTAAAACAAACATGTTTTTTTTTTTTTTTTTCTTCAAACATTACGAAATATACTTACAACACTTTGAGTATTGCAATCTTGACCACTCATCGTCAAATCGAGTCTGAACAAATCACTGTTGATGACATCAATGTTGCAAGTTTCTGAACGACCCAGGGCATAGATTCTACCATTGAATGGTTTATTTGTACGAACTTGAACTGCAATACGTGTGTCCTTGCAATCCACAGATACTGTGAAACGTGAAAGAAGGATTAATAATACATGAGAGATTAACATTTTAATATTCATTAGTTTATAAAAAAAAAAAAAGAAAATGTTTACCATCATAACAGGTGCCAGTTTTATCACAATTAATGTCATTCCTTGTCAGATTATTAATCGTAGGATCTTCGGTAGTTTCAAAAACAACTGGTAGTGGATCTGCCAGGGGTCCAGTTCCTTCTGAATAAATTTATAGAAAAAAAAATTCAATTAATTATAAATAATTTATTGATAATTATTTAAATGAATGTTAGTTACGTACTTTCGCAAAAGTTTTCAAAATATGTTCCAACGCGTTCACCGTTATCGATCAATGGTCTTTCAGCGTTGAGATAAGTCGATGGACCATCAGGTAAAGTCCAATGATCCAAATGAAACAGGTGACAATTGTATGCTGAACCTTGAGGTGCACCACGATAAAGAAATGATCTACAAAGGAATTCATTTTCGATTTCACATGCCAATCTGCATGCCGATTCACTTTGAACTTGCAATTCTTTATCAGTGTAATAATGTAGACCAGCGTATTGTGCAACTTTGTCATCGGCAACACCAATTCGAGGTATTTGAAAGATCCTTTGTGATTTGCATGCTTCTTTTCCTTTTAAACAAAGATTTTCGAAATAATCAACACCTTGTGCATCAACAAATTGAACGTATTGTCCGGTTGTTCGTCGATCGGAATCACTCAGGTGACATTGTAGTGTTACGTAATTGTATTCAAGTGATCGACATGAAAATCTGTGCTCGTTCAAACATGCAGCTAAACAAGCTTCTTTTGTTGAGGTGTAAATCAATGCATTGTCCAATCCACGAATCATTTTGTTTGGGATACGTTCGAATGACCATGGTCGAAGACATACGTTTTCTAAAATTATGCAAACATCATTGTTATTATTATAAAAATAAAAAATATAATAATATCAAATGGTACTTATACGTATTAACGCGACCGTAGCAAAAATTCCGCTAATGCGCCAATTAAGAGCAATCTTGTTGTTTGCACACACCAACCGTCAGGGTTGCGTCAAGATTTCGTCAGGATTTCGTCAGGATTTCGCCAGAGTTGCGTCAAGGTTTCGTCAGGATTTCGCCAGGGTTGCGTCAGAGTTTCGTCAAGGTTCCGTCAGGGTGGCGTCAGGGTTGCGTCAGGATGCATCAGGGTTCGTCAGGGTTGCGTCAGGGTGCGTCAGGGTTTCGCCAGGGTTTCGTCAGGGTTTTGCCAGGGTTTTGTCAGGGTTTCGTCAGGGTTTTGCCAGGGTTGCTTCAGGGTTTCGCCAGGGTTGCGTCAGGGTTTGATTTAAGGTTTAGATTGGTCGCATTTGCGGAATTGTTTTACGTTCGCGTTAATACGTAAGTACCTTTAAAGTATAATATATAATTATATAAAATTTAATATAATAAAATATAATATAAATATAATAAATCATTTTTTATTTTTATTTAAGTATTCTACTTTGTTTTTTTAAATAGTAATATTAGTTTAATTTATTACTATAGTAAAATTATTATTCGAAGATTATATGTTTTGTAAAGTAATTTAAAGAAAATTAGATTTTTACTATCTTATATTATAATTTATTTTATATTGAATTTATATTATAATTGTTTTTTGATTTTATTTAAATTTAATTTTTAAATTATATTAAATTTATTTTATATTTATTTTATATTTATTTTATATTACAAATTGTTGTCCTAGTTTTAAATTTAAAAATGAAAGAAATGACAGAGAAAAGAAGTGAAAATGAAGGTTTTTTTTTTCCTGTATTTGTTCGAAATATTTTTTTTAATACCCCCCATGGAATTGAAATGGTTTTATTTTATTTAAAATTTGTTTTGTGAATCTTTTCTTTCAATTCTTTTCTGGAATTTATTTGTATTTTTATAGTTTATAGTATTCTATTTCAAAATAAAGGAGATAAAAGAAGTGAAAATGAATGATGTTTTTTTTTCTTCTAAATAAAAACTTTCTCTACTTTTTTAATGGTTAAAACGTATTTTTATTTCTTTTCCCTTTTTTAAAATTCTTTCATTGTATTGTACTTTATTTCGTTATAGTTGCTTCTGTTGTTATAATTTAGTTCTGCTTGAACGATTATTTCAAGGATTATCAGCAGGATACTTTGTAGAAGAATTTTTAGAGATCTTCTTCTTTTTCTTTTTCTTCTACTTCTTCAAGGTTTTTACGATTATTTCTTAGGAATGAAAGGGACCATGGGGGGTGGGTGTATATTCATGAGAGATAAATGAAAGAATCGTGTGAAAGTAACCATCAACTTTAGTAGAACAGTTATGTTTGTCTAACTGTTTGTTCAAGTTGGAAGAAAAGCAGAATAAAAGAAAAAGAAGAAATTGTTTAGAAAAGAAAATAATAAAAAAATAAAAAAATAAAAAAATAAAAAGAAAAAGGAGAAGAAACATCAAAGAATCACGTTACTCATTGATCAGACGATTTAACGAAAAAAAGAATTGTTTTTTTTTTCTATGTCAGACTTAGAACAGGTAAAACGTTTGGTTGGTAAAGGGTGTCCTTTTGAAATAACAAATTGTAGATACACACATGTGACTTGGCAAAGTGCTGAACATGCAAACCACAAACTATGACGCACTTACACGTTATTATTTGTCTTAATGATTTTTTGGCACGTGAATTAAACGATAGAAAGAGACAGGGGAGGATAATGTTAGTGTTCAAACATTCCAATTTATTGTTTTGTGTGTGTGTGTGTTTTTTTTGTCTGGTTTGAGAGAAAGTTTAGGAAGCATTGGGAGCTTGAAAGGCGGTACCTTTTTTCAAAATTGTTACTTGATGCCAACGAACTGATGCGTGACTGTATTTTTCACGGATGACGATGATTCATCGTGTTTTATTAAACGAAAAAAGATTCTTTGCATGACAAAATTTCACGTAGCAAATTTTAGATGAGAAATAATTCGAATACTCGATTGGGGATTGGTGTACACGTCTGATTGATTGATACAATATATATATATAATGATATATGAATAAATAAATTTTTAATAATTTTTTTGTGGATTTTTACAAATATTTTAGTACGTTTAGAAAATGAAATGTATTTCCTTTTAATATTGATTAATGGATTTTCCCCGTGGGGGTGACGGGGAAGAATATCCCCCCAGTAATCCCTGCTTGTCGTAAAAGGCGACTAAAAGGGAAAGCTAGGAAAAATGGATAAAGGAAAAAAACATGGTTGTAGGTTGTAAAAATAATAATAAAAAATTCTTTTAGTATTAAATTTTATATATATATATATATATATATATATATGAAATATTATATTTAAAATATATTTATAAATATATAAATTTTAATTATATATAAAATTAAAATTCTTTTGATATAATAATTTAAATAATATTATTATTTAATTATAAATTATATAATAATATTTATTATAATATATAATTAGTTAAATATTAAATAAAAATTAATTAATAAAATTCTTTTAATATTAATTTAATATATATATATATATATATATGTATTTTTATTCATTGAAAATTCAATTGATTTATTTGAATTTTGATTTGAATTTAAATTTGAATTTGAATTTATTAGTAAATGATTTTAATTATTATTATAAAATAATTTCAAATAATTAATTTATATATTTATATATAAAAAAAAAAAATGCATAATATAAAAGGAACGAAAGACAAAAATTTGTTAAAACTTCTTTTCGAATCGTTCTTCGTTTCATTTTCATTTTCGTTCGTTTCTTTTTCGATCGTCCTTTGGGACCATCATTCTAGGATTTGAAGGACCCAACTTTCTCTTTCCCTCTCCCCCCCATCCCCCGTCCCTTTTTTCTTCTCTCTCTCTTTCTTTCTTTACTGTTTCTATTTATAAAATGAAAAGAAATATTTTACGAGGACCCCATGTGTTCTTCCCCCCTTTCCAAAATTCAACATCAGTTTCGACACGTTAAACTTCTTCTGTTTTGTTTATTTATTCTTTTATAGGATTTTTTAAAATGTGTCCTTTTTATTCATACCTGTTCAGAAATCTATTTTTCTACCTTTTTTTTTTTTTTTTGTTCAATTTTATCTTTTTTACTTAATTTACAATGTTTAACAGCTGGAAGGTTGTTCTATCATTTGTCAAATGTAATTTTTCATCTTTTTTTTTTTTCTTTTTTTTTTTTTATTCATTAGAAATTTTTCTGTTATTTTTCTTTTGTATTTTATTGAATTGTTCGGAAGGTAATTTCGTTTTTTTTTTTCCTGACACAATAAATGCGCATGAATTGATGGAAAGTGGCCATTATAATTTTGATTTGATTTGATTTTATTTTTCTTTTATTCTATTATATTTTATTTTATTTATTAATTTATTTAAACACCTGTTATCATTCATTTCTTTTAATATGATCGTTTTGATTTATTACAATTTTTATTTTATTATATTTTATTTTATTTTATTTCATTCTATTTCAATTTTATTTTATATTTCTTTTTAGAATTAATTCGAACACGTGTTATCATTAATTCATTTTCATTTGATCATTTTTCATTAATATAATTTTTATTTTATTTTATTGTTTTCTTTTAATTTATTCGAACATGTCTAACGTTAAACCTTCAGTTAATTCAATTAAAACCATGTATAACAAGAAGAAGAATACTTACCAGATCTTATTTGCAATTTCGTCATGTAATACATATTAACAGCACGTTGTGGTTGTGCTGCCGGATTTGATGCTGCAGTTTCATTTTGCAATTGACAAAGTGTATCTTGCATCGGTGCTAAAGGATTTACAACGAAGGAAAATGCTGCAGCTTGACATTCAGCTTCTTCTCGACACCAACCTTGACACTCATACAATGATAAATTTCTCACGCTGTAATAGGTTGTTCCACGATAATCGTAATCAGTCAATTTCTCAAATGCTATTCTTGCTGTAAAAAAGCAAAAAAAAAAAAACAAATCAAACATATTGATTTACATATGACGTAGTTAATCTTAACTTTTTATTAGATTTTTCACTTTCATAATTTCATTTGTCAATTTTAACTGAAACTTTGAGTAAGGTTGGAAATTAAGTATAATCAGGTTGATTCGATGATATTTCATCGTCATGAAAAAAATGAAATGAAATTGAAATAATTAATGATGAATTATATTTATTTAAAGTATTGAAATTCCAAATAATCAGATTGATTCATCGTCACAAGAAAAATGAAATGAAATTGAGATAATTAATGATGAATTAAATTTATTTAAAGTATTGAAATTGAGTACAATAAAATTGATTCATTGATATTTCATCGTCACAAGAAAAATGAAATGGAATTGAAATAATTAATGATGAATTATATTTATT